CCATTACACACCTAGAGTCCCTGCTCCAGTACCTAGGATTAATTATTGACTGCTTTTAGTGGTAGTTAGGTTCTATTTTTATTATTACACAGGTTCGACGCCCTGTCAATTTTTGGTACCGTTGCCGGGGACTGGCGTTATTAATTATTTCTTTTTAAATTCATTTTTTTTGTTCTGATTTTCTGATATTTTTTTTCTAGTGTATGCCTCGATCTTCTCGTACAGGTGATTTGATTTTTGATCCTGAAGTAGAGAAGATCGCGCGTAGAACGAGAAAGGAAACCAGACAGTTCAGAGAGGAGCACTCCAGTGCTGCATCTCAGGGATCTGAGCCCGAAGTTGAACCAGCAGATTTGTTTGGTGACACTTCAAGTGATCCGTACCAAGAGAACGTCGCCATGGCAAACACACAAACATTAAGGGAGTTGGCTGCTTCAAACTTGACCCAACAACCTCTTTGCATAACTTTTCCTCGCCTTAGTGAGAATGCAGCTTTTGAATTAAAACCTGATTTAATACATTTGTTGCCTACTTTTCATGGTCTGCCAGGAGAGAAACCCCACAAACACATGCAGAAATTTGATGTGGTGTGTTCGAGTATGAAGCTTTTGGGAGTAACTAATGAACAAATTAAATTAAGGGCCTTCCCTTTCTCTCTCACGGATTCGGCAAAGGACTGGTTATACTGTCTACCTGCAGGCATTATCACCACGTGGCCAGAGATGTAGAAAAATTTTTAAAAAAAATATTACCCTGCATCCAGAGCTGCTAGTTTGCGAAAGGAAATACGTGGCATCAAACAATTTCACGGAAAATTCTTGTATGAATATTGGGAGAGGTTCACCAAGCTGCGTACCCGATGCCCTTATCACCAAATAAGTGATCAACTGCTGATTCAGTACTTCTACGAGGGGCTACTGATGAACGATAGAAATATCATTGATGCAGCAAGTGGTGGTGCACTGGTGAATAAGACTACCCAAGAGGCATGGGAACTAATCGAGCGAATGGCAGAGAACTGCCAGCAGTTTTGTACGAGAGCAGATGTTCCTACGAGAAAGGTCGACGAGGTAAGTTCATCTTCCATTCAACAGCAGTTATCTGAATTAACCTCATTTGTTCGACAGATAGCTGCAGGAAATGTACAGCAGACCAAAGTGTGTGGGATTTGTACGAATATTGGTCATACCACTGACTCGTGCCCACAGTTACAAGAGGAGGGAACTGAGCAAGTAAACATGGCTGGTAACATGCCCATGCCACGTAGACAGTATGACCCCTATTCCAACTCATACAATCCGGTTTGGAGGGATCATCCAAATCTGAGTTATAGGGGAAATAAGCAATAAAATTTCATCCCTAATAGACAGCAGGGCTTCCAGCAACAATATCAAACAAGGAATCAACCCTCTCTGCCTCAGGTATGTCCCTAGAAGACATGGTTAAAACCATAGTCTCTAATACTATGAAATTTCAGCAGGACACTGAGGCCAGCAGTCAAGAGATGAAAGAGCGTATGCAAAATTTGGAAAATCAGATGAGTCAATTAGCCTCAATTGTCAACCGACTGGACTCCCAGGGAAAGGGAAACCTTCCATCCCAACCTGAGGTGAATCCTAAGAATATAAGTGCAATGACCCTCAGGAGTGGGATGGAAGTTGACGGACCAGCACCAGTGGCTCCGAAGGACAAGAATGAGAACCGCATTGAGAAGGAGCTTGAGAACGAAGGAACGCCCGACACAAATAAAGAGGTAATACGTAACCCAGTGGTTCCAGTTAAGTCTAACCCACCACCTTTTCCGAGCAGGTTGGAAAGGCCTAAAAAGCAAGACAAGGAAAAGAAAATTCTGGAGATGTTTAGAAAGGTGGAGATAAATATCCCTTTACTTGACGCAATTAAGCAAGTACCCCGGTATGCCAAATTTTTGAAGGACCTATGCATCAATAGGAAGAAATTGATGGGAGATGAAAGGATAATTGTGGGAGAGAACGTATCCGCAGTGCTTCAAAGAAAACTTCCGCCCAAGTGTGGAGATCCAGGTATTTTCACTATCCCTTGTAAAATCGGGAACACTAGCATTAGGAATGCCATGTTAGATCTAGGAGTCTCTATAAATGTGATACCCAAGGCTATTTATGCTTCTCTAAATTTGGGTCCCTTAAAGGAAACTGGCATTATAATTCAATTGGCTGATAGGACTAATGTTTATCCCGATGGGATGATAGAAGATGTGTTAGTGCAAGTGAACAATTTAGTATTCCCAGCTGATTTTTATATTCTTGATATGGGTGATGAACGTTCTCCAAATCCATCACCAATTTTGTTGGGGAGACCCTTCTTGAGCACGGCTCGTACAAATATTGATGTCAGTGAGGGCACCCTAACGATGGAATTTGATGGAGAAATAGTTCATTTTAATATATTTGAGGGCATGAAATATCCGTGTCATTCTAATGCTATTTTTGCTGTGAGTGTAATTGACCCTTTGGTGTAAGAAGTATTTGAGATTAATGGCAGGGATGAATTGGAGATAGCAATCACCAAACATTTGGAGCTGGAAGCAACCTGTGAAATGGAGTTAGGCGTCAGTTTGCAAAGAATGGTTGGAGCTTTGCATTCATTGGGCCAAAGTTCTCTAAGGTATGATGTCGCTCCTATATTCGTGCCTGAACCACACCTAAAGCTATTACCTTCTATCGTGCAGGCACCTGAAGTGGAGTTGAAATCCCTGCCCCAGGGATAATCTCATCCAAATTATCACCCAGGGAGGAGGATAAGCTGCTACGGGTTTTAAGGGAGCATAAGGAAGCTATAGGTTGGACAATTACGGACATAAAGGGTATAAGCCCGTCCGTGTGCATGCATCGAATTCGCCTGGAAGAGGATGTTAGGCCGATAAGACAACCACAAAGGAGATTGAACCCCATCATGATGGAAGTGGTCAAGAAAGAGGTAATCAAGATTCTGGACGTAGGAATTATTTTTTTTATCTCAGATAGCCCATGGGTGAGTCCGGTCCAAGTGGTGCCAAAGAAAGCAGGGGTAACTGCGGAAGAAAATCATGAAGGGGACCTCGTTCCAATTCGAAAGCCTACGGGTTGGCGCCAGTGCATCGATTACCGCAAATTGAACGCGGTGACCAAGAAGGATCATTTTCCTCTTCCATTCATCGATCAAATGGTTGAAAGGTTAGCTTGTCGTGCCTATTATTATTTTTTAGATGGTTTCTCTAGTTATTTTCAGATAGCCATTGCACCAGAGGATCAAGAGAAAACAACTTTTACTTGCCCCTTTGGCACTTTTACCTATCGGAGGATGCCATTTGGATTGTGCAATGCCCCTGCAACATTCCAGAGGTGCATGATTAGCATTTTTTCTGAGTATGTGGAGAGAATAATTGAGGTATTCATGGATGACTTCAGTGTCTATGGTGATAGTTTTGACGATTGCTTAGATAACCTAACATTGATTTTAAAAAGATGCGTTGAGACTAACCTAGTGCTCAATTGGGAAAAATGTCATTTTATGGTTGAGCGCGGGATAGTTCTAGGACATGTAGTGTCGTCTAGAGGAATTGGGGTTGATAAAGCTAAAATAGATGTGATATCTGCTTTACCTTACCCCGTAACTGTACGGGAAGTTCATTCTTTTCTAGGACATGCAGGTTTCTATCGCAGATTTATCAAGGATTTCTCAAAGATCGGGGCACCACTTTTCAGGCTTTTGCAAAAGGATGTCAGTTTTGAATTCAACGAGGAGTGCAAAGAAGCGTTCGAGAAGTTAAAAAAATTACTCACTACTCCACCTGTCATCCAACCCCCTGACTGGAATCTCCTGTTTGAAATTATGTGTGATGCCAGCGACCACTCCGTGGGAGCAGTTTTGGAACAAAGGGTGGAGAAAGCGGCGCACATAATATATTACACCTCTAGAGTTTTAAATGGCGCCCAACTCAATTACTCCATTACGGGGAAAGAACTCTTAGCTGTTGTTTTTGCTTTAGAAAAGTTTAGACCTTATTTGTTAGGTGCTAAAGTAATTGTGTATTCTGACCATACAGCTTTGAGGTATCTGGTGACCAAGAAGGTCGCTGAACCCCGTTTGATAAGATGGATATTGCTCCTGCAGGAATTTGACTTGGAAATCAGAGATAAAAAAGGAGCAGAGAATCTGGTAGCTGACCACCTCAGTCGAATACTGGTAGCGGAGGAGGAATTACCATTAAGGGAGTCTTTTCCTGAAGAGCATTTACTTTCTATTAATTCATCTCCTCCTTGGTTTGCAGATATTGTGAATTATTTGGTTACTGACAAATAGCCCGCAGGTTGGCCCAAGGTGAAAAGGGACAAGCTAAAAAACGATGCAAAGTACTATGTCTGGGATGATCCCTATCTTTGGAAACAAGGTGCTGACCAAGGCGATGTGTAAGTGAAAGTGAATTCCAATCTATATTGACTTTCTGTCACTCTTTTGCATGTGGGGGTCATTTTGGACCTAAACGGACTGCGAGGAAAGTGTTGGAAAGTGGATTTTATTGGCCTACCTTATTTAAGGATGCCTACTTGTTTTGTAAGACATGTGATAAATGTCAGAGGGTAGGCAATTTATCCCGAAAGGATCAACTGCCACAAGTGCCCATGCTTTTCATTGAAATTTTTGATACTTGGGGTATAGATTTCATGGGTCCCTTTCCTAATTCTATTGGATTTTTATATATTTTACTAGCAGTGGATTATGTCTCTAAGTGGGTGGAAGCAAAAGCCACCCGCACTAATGATTCTAAGGTGGTAGCAGGTTTCATAAAGTCTAACATTTTCGTGCGATTTGGAATGCCACGGGCAGTTGTGAGTGATAGGGGGACGCATTTTTGCAACAAGACAATTGCTGCTTTATTCAGGAAATATGGTGTACTTCATAAGGTTTCCACTTCCTACCATCCACAGACCAATGGCTAGGCTGAAGTCTCGAATAGGGAAATAAAGTCCATTTTGGAAAAGATGGTCCGCCCTGATAGGAAGGACTGGAGTTCAAGATTGGAAGATACTTTATGGGCATACAGGACCGCTTACAAGACACCTATAGGGATGTCTCCCTATAGGTTGATATTTGGTAAGCCTTGTCATCTTCCCGTGGAGTTCGAGCATAAAGCATTTTGGGCGGTTAAGCAATGCAATATGGATATTGAGGAGGGCGAAATTCAAAGGAAGTTACAGTTACAGGAGTTGGAGGAGATTCGCAATGAAGCCTATGAGAATGCGGTAATTTATAAGGAGAAAAATAAGATTTTTCATGACCAACAGATCTCTAGGAAGACGTTTGAATGTGGGCAAAAAGTTCTACTGTACCACTCGAAGTTGAAGTTATTTCCAGGTAAGTTACGTTCTCGTTGGATCGGTCCCTTTGTTGTAACTAATGTTTTTGATTATGGTGCAGTGGAGATCCAGAGTCTAAGGACGGAGAAAAAATTTGTGGTGAATGGTCATCGTCTCAAGCCATATTATGATGGGGCTCCAGTTGAGCGGGTGGAGACGATGCATTTGGAGAACCCAATTTGTTTGGGTTAAGTAAATTATGGGCTATGTCTAGCCAAAGACACTAAAGAAAGACGCTTTTTTGGGAGGCAACCCAAATATTGATTTTATTATTTTTAGTTGTTCATTTCTTGCATTTTGTCGCTCCCTCGTTGGGTAGCATCAATATTAATATTTCCTTCACTATGCCCAGGAAGTGCAATCTTGGCGTGCCCACGCGGTGTTGGTGTCTTCTGAGATCAGAGGACGAAGACCAATCTTGGCGTGCCCGCGCGGTGTTGGTGTCTCCTGAGATCAGAGGACAAAGACCAATCTTAGCGTGCCCATGCGGTGTTTGTGTCTCCTGAGGTCAGTGGATGTTTTGTAATCTTGGCGTGCCCACGTGGTATTTGACGACGCAAACCATGAGTAAAAAAATAAATAAATAAACAAATAAATTTTTTTTATTATTGTTATTATTATTATTATTATTATTATTCTTTTTGTTATTATTATTCCTCTCATATAAAAAAAAGGGGGGGAAGATTATTTTCTTTTTAAACCCTCAAACCAAAAAAAAAAAAAACTCTTTCTTTTCTTTTCTTCTTTCTTTCCTTTTTTTTTCTTCTTTCTTTCTTTCTTTCTTTCTTCCTTCTTCCCCGCTGCCCCTGCTTTCCATTTTCCTTCTTTTCCTTCGTCCGAAGCCCCGCCGCCGCTGCTAGCGCCTCCTCCTCAGCTCAGTCCGCTGCCAACAGTCTCCATCAGCTCGCGACCGCCGCGGCATCGCCACCCTCCACAAGGACTGCAACCTCGCGGCCAGGAGCTGCCGCGAGCCCGACAGCGCGCTGCCAGCTTGCAGCTCAAGCCGCGCCATCTCATCGCCATCACGCGACCTTCCCCTTGCGCGAGCTCCACCTGCACGCACCACTGCCAGCCGCGCGCCACCTCTCCAGCGTACGACCTCGCACGACGCCAGGACGTACGCCGCCCCCTCAACACGCCTCTCTTCCTCCTCCATTGCCGCCCATCACCACCTGTTTAAATTGATAGGTAGAGGTATTGTGATTTCTTTCCCGATTGGCATTAATTGTTGGATTTTGTGTGTGGGTTTCTTGTTGGATAAACACAAGTGTTGATTTGGGGTAATTTCTAGGGCCAATTTTTGACCAATGTGGGTTTAATTGCTGCCATAGGTGGGGAATTTTCCGATATTTATTGAAGTGTTGGACTGTTTAGTTTAATTTCTCCGTGTTTACGCCAGTGGTACTGGTGGTAGCACTTGGCCTGGCATTTATTCATCTTGTGGGTGCACCAGTGGTACTGGTTGCGATTTTGCCAAACTTTTTACTATTTTCTCGAATTCCATTCGGCGGTTGATGGAATTGCCTGTTGCTTGGCTCAGTTGCTAATTTGGTAAATTGTATTGGGTCATTGACTGTCCATTTAGAGACAGTGGTTCCGGTTTTTGGTCCACTTGTGTCTAATTCATATAATTGGTGTCAAATTGTGGGTAATATTGCTGCGATTGCTGGTTAAATTAGGGGGCGCCCGTGACGCTTATATTTGATTATTGGGGCGCCTGTAACGCTTTTATTTGCTTATTGACATTGGTTGCATGGTCTAAGCAGTTCTCGTGACTGATTGCTTGTTGCTCTGATTTACTTTTATTGTGCACCAGTGGTACTGGTTGTGTTAGGATTCTGTGACTGATCTGTTCTCGTACTATTGAAGTCATTTTGGGCATGGTTGGGATGCATACATTGGTCTCCATGTGTCAATTGTTGGGGGCAGTTTTTGGCATCAATTGAGTCCTTTCTCACGTTTTGAGTCAAATCCGCATTATTAGTCAATTGGACGGCTACGGTGCCTTTCCCTTTGTGTATTGCCAATCAGTTGGGTCTACCTGACCTGTTTGGGGTTTTTTTTTCTAACTCTTGGATTCCTGTATTGTGCTTTCTATTGTTTTGGTTTGCCTGTTGGTCACCATGGTGAGGCCTCGATCTTCGTCTCAGTCTAGGACACCTAGGCAATCACAGCCCCCACCACCCCAACCCACTATTCCCGTCTCTAACCCCTCGCACGAACCTTCCTCCTCTGGGAGGAGGGCTCGTCTTGGGCGACAAAGAGGCGTCCATATCTCTAACCCTGCACATTTTGGGGGTCATTTGTACTTCACCAGGGCAGCCGACAAGCGGCGATATGCTGCGACTTGTGAACGGCGGATTATTCCATGCCGTTATCGGGACGCCGCCACCTTGGGCCTCCTAAACATTCGAGTTGGTTTTGACGATTTGATTGAGGCAATTGGGTGGCTCCTCTATTCTCGTATTACTGACCTCCCAGCCTTTGTTGAATTAGTTAGGGAGTTCTATGCCACATTTGAATTCGACCTTCCCACTGGTTACACAGTTTCTACCCCTGATGTCATTCGTTTCCGTTTAATGGGTCAGGAGTTCCACCATTTCATAACCGACTTCAACCTGGCCCTTGGTTTTATTGATCCTGCCTATGCTGAGTCTCGGGAGTATGTCGAGAGTGCATGTGACTATGTCCAGCCGTTTTTCTCCCGCTATCGCTTTATTTGGGATGAGATGTCCGTAGACAGCGATAACTATGACCCTCGTCTATCTAAGGGTTCTTATCTGAAGGACCCGGCCTCTCGCTATATCCACCATTTTTTGGCTTATAGTTTCTCGGGTAGGCGAGATAGTTCGGGCATTCTGTCTAAGCCTGAATTTTTCTTTATATGGTGCATGCATAACAATATTAAGGTTAACCTTGGGTGTTGGCTCGCGTCTCAGTTCAAGTCCATTTTGCCTAAAAAGAAGCGCCCCTTGATTTTTGGGTCTTACATTACTCACTTGGCTATTAATTTGCATGTCCTTGATATTTCTAACCACAACTTGCATATAGCCTGTCAAATGGAGCCTTTGGATATCCCGTGCTTAGAGAAAATGGGCTTAGTTCGGGAGGGTGACAATGGTTGGGAGGTTGTTCCCCCGGGACCGCTACGCCTTCCCCCTAGGTCATCTTTTGCCCGAGCTTCCATTGAGGGCGACGATCCTGACCCATCGTCCTCCGCTCCGTCCCATTCCAACCCTATGGCCGAGGATTGGACTCAACTTCGAAACACCGTTGAGAGACTGGAGACTCGCGTGACCCACATTGGCATCAACTTGCATAGCATGGCGCAGAATCTGGCAGCTTTTATGCAGCATACGGGATTTGCTCCTCCATTCGGGCCCGATCCACCCTTGTTTTGACGACTTCAGGGAAGTACCGTTGCCCCTCTCCTTTTCCTGCTATTATATTTTCACATTGAGGGCAATGTGTGGATTAGGTGTGGGGGGGTCAGTTTGGGTGCTAGATATTTTCCGTTTTTCATTTTTTGATTGTTTTCCTTTTGTTTTCTGTTTAGGTGTTGGTCCTTTATCCCTTTTGGGTGTCTTTCCCTTGCTTCTATCTTGGTGACTATGTTGGCAGCTCACTCTTTTCTTGTTAGTTGTAGTTTATACTAGGAGTTGAGTTTCGGTGGCAAGTAAAAGCATGCTGTCTTGGTGAATACTTTGAGTTTAACGACTTGGAGCAATTTATGGCTAACTTGTTTAGGCAATGTAAATATTTTGCTGGCATTGTTGTGTGGATTGGTCTCCTGTTGACCTTAGTTCTCCATATTTAGGACATGACGCTGGCTATGATCTTTAATTACTTGGTATTTTGGTGTTTTATGGTGAATAACGTATGGCTATACTCCGCTAGTATCGCCACCTAGTAACCGGGAGTCTTCCCCACAAGTGTCGGCTCTCGCATCAAAAAGTGACGATATCTATGAGTAAATGGTCCTGGAGTTATGAAAAGTTGAGTAACTGGGCTCTTTCATCTAAAAATGTCAGAGTTCACGTCAAAAGACTTGAATAGCTCGGGACTAAGCATTATTCGTGCAATCCAAAAAAAAAAAAAGAGAGAGAGAAAAAAAAGAAAAGAAAATCAGATGTGGAGAATATGTGAGTTTATGACCATGTTGGCCTGCCGATCCTTGCTTCGTAATGTTGAGATTTTGGGTGCCAGTTGACTTAACTGCTGACTATTGCTAGTTAATATTTGGATTTCCTAGGTGAGCTAGTCATGAATTGGACGGGTCTATGAACTTAGGAGCTAACCGAGTGAGATATGACTTGACACTTAGCCACTAAATCTTGATTTTTGGTATAAGCACAGCTAGCAATGATAATGTTAAAGTGAGCCATTGTTGAGTTGAATTGTTCCCATGCTTGAGGGCAAGCATGATTCAGGTGTGGGGGGAATTGATAGGGCATTATTTGTAAGTAATTTTATTATTAATTTCCCCTTTTATCCCTACCAAATATTGTGTTAATTATTGATATCTACTTATATTTGGTATCTGGATTTAATTTCAGGGATGAAACAGAAATCTACCAGAAAGGAGGGACTTTATGGAGAAAATGGAGACTTCTAAGGGTTTCAACCCTTGGGCCCTTTAATTGGTGGGGACCACAAGCTAGTGAAAGGCATTTAGTCATTTGGGCTTCAAAGAAAGCAACGTAGAGAGACTTGGAACAAGAAGTAATTTGGAGGCTTTGTCCACATGTGTGGGGACCACCTAGATAGCTTTTAGTCATCTTTCTTTTGTTGCTTTAAAAGGGACAACGTACAGAAGCAAAGTACCACCTTTTAGTTTTAGTTTTTAGTTTAGTTTTAGTTTTCTTTCTTTTGACTGGCCTCTGACACACGCCAGGTGTTCGATAATATTCCCCAACGGGAAAAACATCTTTTGTTCCTTGCTTTCTAGTAAAAACGCAATGCCTTTGCAATCCATTGATTCGTGTGGTGATTTAATTATGCGGCGTGGCTAAGCCTTCCATCTAGTCAAGGGTCAACTCGACGGCGCAGTCCCGAAAATCTGTGAGATCTAATTAGTTTTCACGTGTTCCTTTATTTATTAATATTTGCACGTTGTCTGCTTGAATTTTCATGGAATTATTTTATTAATTGGATGTCAAGGGCCCGATGTTCAATGTGATTTATTAATCTCG